AACCTGCTATTATCTGCAGCCACATGGATCTATTTATAACTACTACTGTGAAACTGAATATAAACACACATTTCTGCTGGTCAGGGAGATGTACATTTCTAAAATATTAGATTATATTAATAAATGTACTTCTCTTGGGCTACCACAATTTATGTACTAGAATTTATAAGCAGTTTTGTCATATTTAATATCTAGTATTTGCATGCATAAGTAACTCATAAAAGAGAATCAGGTAGAAATTTTACATTCACTTGCCTGGAGTAAGGACCCAGTCTAAAACCCACTGACGTCAATAAGTCTTCAACTTCAATCAGAACTGGACTGGACCCTAAATAACAGGGAAGAATTTGGTCTTTACTCCTTACAGTGTAGTTCAGGACTGAAACTATTTCTGGCTGTGCTACTGAAGTGCTCTATGACGTTGGGCAGGTCACTTAACTTCTCTGTACCTCAGTTTCCTTTCTTAAATATGGCAATGACACTTCTCTTTATTCAAGAATTTTGAGACTTATGGATGGAAAGCACAAAGTAGTAGTAGTATTTTAATCCAGCAAGGCAAAAATCTATCCAACACTATCCTCCAAAGTTTAGGAATACATAATTTTGCTCAAAAATATCAAAGTTATAAAATGGCACTAAAAATAGGAATATAAATATTGCTACCAATATTTGACAGATAATTTTGGTTCTGGTTAGCACGTAAGCAGCAGATGCTTCTGATTATGGCAGACTAATAAACGTAACATACAGTAATAATTTTACATGACTAAAAGACTTTTTAGTATCAGTGTCCCTGCATTTTTACACACACACACACACACACACACACGGATTTCCTAAAGAGCAGGCCTGTGTGCAGTATACATTTTGTACTAGGCCAATGCACTTATATATCTAAGAAAAAATGCTTTTCCTATTTTAAACCAATGCCCTGTTTTTGACAACGGGGCTTTCCCACTCTCTCTTTTCAATTACTTATGTTCTCCTGCAAACTGATTTCCCTAATGTCGTCTTCTACTTTACCTTTGCTCAAGAGAGATATTTCCTTATATATACAAACATTAACATTAATTTTCAGGATGCCAAATAGGTATATACCAAGTAATTGACCAAAAGTAAAAAATGTGTTTCATTATATCTGTTCATTAGTTAGGAGTATAGAAAGAACAGAAACCAGTAATTACACCTGGTTTTAACAAGTGTGCAGTGTTTTTTGAAGGCCTTACTGATTGAGTTCATCAACTGGGCTGAAGAAATCAGTTTACAGCACTATAAATCCATTGGGCTACCCAAAGCTAGAAACAAGACTGGACAATCTACATAGATAACAGCTATGGCTTCTTACCTTTCCAATATATACTAGATTCCAGCTATCAGAGTAAAATGAGATTCATTCCCACCCAGGTCCAATGTTGCAGAAAAACATTCATTCCAGTGTATACAGATTCAGTATCTGGCATAAAAACAAAACAAACAAACAACAAAAACAGGTTTTGTTTGTAATGTTTACTTGAGTGGAACAGATCTGCTCCTACGCTATGTCTATAGCGTCTCCTCCACTCAGTTCCAGGCTTTGATCAAACAGCATACCAGATAATCCAGAATTTGGCAACACTGCAACAATAAACCATTGACAATAAATCACAGAAATGGAGGGCTGGAAAGGACCTTGAGAGGTAATCTAGTCCCTCCTCCTGCACTGAGGGAGGACCATCCCTGATAGCTGATTTGTCTGACCCATTCTTACAAACTTCCAATGCCAGTATTCCACAACTTCCCTCAGTAACTTATTCCAGTACTTAACTATCTTTTATAGTTTTTCCTATTAGTCTCCCTTGCTGAAGATTAAGCTGATTACTTCTTGTCCTACCTTCAGAAGACATGGAGAACAATTTATCATTGCCCTTTTTATAACACCAATTAATGTATTTGAAGATTTAACTGATTCTCCCTCCCCCTTGGTCTTCTTTTCTCAAGGCTAAACATGTCCAGTTTTTTTAACCTCTCCTCATAGGTCAAGTTTTCTAAACATTTTATCATTTTTGTTGCTGTCCTCTGATTCTCTCCATGTTGTGCCCAAAACTGGACACAATACTCCAACTGAGGCCTCACCAGTGCCAAGCAGAGTGCAACGATGTTGATTTCAGACCAACTGTCCAATTTATCAATGTCGTTTTGAATTCTAATTCTGTCTCCAAAGTGTTTGCAAATTTCCCAGCTTGGTGTCATTCACAAATTTTAAGTATACCATTATCCAAGTCATTAATGAACATTTTTAACAGTGCCAAATCCAGGACAGACCCCTGTATTAACATACAACTCTAAAGCCAACGCTGATCCCCCTAAAAGATCCACAGAACAAACCCCAAGAGGGTCTAGTCAGAGATCATGGATCCTATGTATACATTTCAGTTTAATATACTGGGCCCAGATTCTGCAATTAATTCCACATGGGTGGATTCAATAACCCAAAAATACATTCTACTTGAAATTAAATCCTGTTTTGATACAGTGGCAGTTATTCCATAGTTAATATTGCATCTTCATATCCATTATTAACTCAGTTTTGTTTCCCCCCTGTAAAATCCAAGCTCAAACTTGATAGTTTAATTTTGGGACTGAGGCAGAATACTTATCAAATTTGAAGTAATTGGACAAGGAGTAAATAAATTAGAGATGCTTGCCAGAATTCAAAGTCTTCACTTCACTTTTTATTGTCTATGAAGCACTATACATACCTATTACATTACAGAAATAATAATAATCTTTAATGGAATGCAATAGTCCACCATGTTTTTACTAAGCTACTTACAACAAAGGCTTCTAACATGAACTCCTGGTAATTTAACATAGACACATTTCCTTAACAAGCCCATCCTGACACACCAAAAATATTTCATATCTGTAGACCTTTAGCTGCCCAGAAAAAGTAAACTTCACATCTGGAAACTTTTCCCCTCTCCTCAAACCTCCATTTCTGGCAAAGTGGATGAGGCAGACACATAACTGAACACTCACCAGCTTCTCCCTCTCACCCCTCCCTTCACCTCCAGAGGCCCACCCCACAATTTCCACATACATTTGGGAACCCTAAACCCCTTCACATATCTGGAGACACCCCTTCCTCCCAGATCAAGCCACCAAATATTACCCAAGATTTGACATTCACACATCTTGTTCCTTTACAAATAGCAATAGGTCACACCATTTTCTGAGGGAGGGAGGGAGGGAGGCAGAAGGCGAGAGCAATACCCTGCAATACAGTTTTGCCTATGGGAAGATGCACTAAACTGTCTTCCGAGAGCCCATGTGTCTAATGCCAGCTCTTCTGCTAATTGCTCTGAATATTTGTAGTCACTTCCTAACCCTTATTAACCAAGGCATCATTTCCCCTACATTTGGGAATTACTGTTCACTCATTTTACAGCTATGATAACAGACAAGTGGGAAAAGGTAACATCAGACTAGACAGAGGTAGGAATATAGAACACACATTTAATATGACAGACCTCTCTCACACCTTACCACAGTACTTCTCAGATGGAAGGAGATAAATGATCTCTTGCTAATCCATGCTAACACACTGCAGATCTTCGTCCCTTTCTAGTGGTTAGGCCTCATGTAGAGATTTATGAGTCTCTTACTGCCTCCATGCTAATAGGAAAGATCATTCTACTTTAATGACAGATGCTCATGCAACTCCCATAGAAGTGGTTGGTGCCATATATCTGAAAGTTATGGATTCAGTCTAATGGCCCATATGGGGGGAAACATATGTCAGTGTGAAGTCTGTGCAATAAATATTGAAATTATTTTATATAACAAAACATATTTATAGGTGTTTTTGGATGTTCTATCAATATTTGTTTTAGTGTAGTGAGAATTCTTCTGTTAGAAATCGGTGGGATACTTATAAAAAGGTTTGTTTGAAGAGGAGAAAGCACAGTGGGGATATTTTTGCCTGTGTATAAAGAAAGTGGAAGACCTTGCCTGCATGTGATCCTGATCAGAACTTGGATAAATAAACGTATTTCAAGAAAGCAATCTTATTGTCAACAGAGTAAAAATTAGTTCTTAAGGAGAACTGAATGCTTCAGGCTGTCGCTAATGATCAATTAGCCTATCACCTGTAGGTCAGCAGTGCGAATCTAGCCCAGCCAATTGAGGAACTAACAGTTGTTCCCACCCAACAGATCCCTTTGGGGTTTCCACACAAAGCCTTCGGTGGGTCTGTTCCAGCTCCCATATCACACACGTGCCACATTTTTCACTAATTGGCAGACTCAGCCCAGAGAAGCCAAAACCTGCATGAGTCAGGCAGAAGCGAACGCGCCTTGTTGCTCCTAGATAAAGTCCCCACCCCACCCAGATCAAGGCTAGCACGTGGCGGCAGAACGTGGTGTGGGAAACCTGCCTTCTCAGTTCTCACTGCGCTCTAGATAATAGAGAGGGCCTTATTCAGCAGGGCGGGCCCAGCACTCAAGCCACATGGCTTCTGTGCTAAACTGCAGCTAGGCCATAGGAGCGGGGAGGCGGGTGAGAATCTCTTTTGTTAGCCCCACGCCTGTTGGTGAGCGAGACGCGCTTCCAGCACCAGAGCTCCTACTCGGGTTACATGCAAAGCAGGTACACACGCACCACTGGCTCATTCACTCATTTGCATCACCCTTGCACACAGAGCTCCCCGGAACGGGGACACTATGACGCTCCAGCCCCTCCCCCTCCGGGAACGACGCCCATCCCCCACCTCCAAAGACTGCGGGCGGGCGCCAGCTGCCGCGCTAACTGCGCCCTGCTGACAGGCCGGGGAGCGTCTTGCGCTCTACCTCGCGCACGGCCCTCCCACCAGACGCGCGGGAACAAGGGGCTGCGGCGAAGACGGCTCCGCAACCTACGTTCCCTGTGTGGTCACCTCAAGCCCCGCTCCCCTAGTCATCCACCCCCTCTGCGTTTGCTTGCGCGCATGTGCTATTCTCAAAAAAAACTGTAACTCAACCAACCTTGCCTGCGCTATGTTCTGTGCTGGACCAGTCACAGGGCCGGTTGCTTCCTACGCAGGCGGCACGCAATTTGACGCATCAACGTCAGCACCCGACTCCAGAGGTTTTCTATTGGCCCAGAGGAGCAACCTTCTCCTCAGCCCATTGGTCAGCGCTGTTACGCGCATGCGCCTGTCGCAATATTACCCATTTGCGGGAGCGCCTAGCAAGTTAGCATAGCTCGCCTTTTTTCTTCTCCGCCTTCCTATCCCCCCCTCACGCTTTCTCCTCCCTCCCAGTTCCTGGCTGTGTCAAGCGGCGGCCGCCACCACCAACGTGGAGAGCAGAAAGCGGCCTCCGAACGGGCTCCTCGAGCCGAGGCGCGAGCGGTAACCGTTGGACGGTACCAACTGCCTTTCGTTGAGGAGAGACGCCCCGCCGGGCGGTACCGATTGAGACAACCCCGCACCTGTTGGTTCTTTCTTTCTTTCAACCGCCTCCCCGCACCCACTCGGGGTTCCGGCGGCTCCCCCTCAGCGCGTCAGGCAGAGAAACGCCCGCTCGCCCCGCCGCAGCCGGCTCGAACCGGAGCAGCCGCCGCCATGGCCGAGACCGAGGAGAGGAGCCTAGACGACTTCTTCGCCAAGAGGGACAAGAAGAAGCGGCGGGAGAAAGGGAGCCGGGGTGCCGCTGCTGCCGCCGCATCCTCGGCCTCCTCCGCCTCCAGCGCGCCGGGGGGAGCTCGGCCGGCCGAGGGGGGCTCCGGAGCCGCCGCCAGCACCGCCTCCTCCGCCAGGGCGGCGGTTAAGGTGCGTTTGGAGGGGGGGGGGTTACGGTATTGGGGCGCGTCGCGCCCTGGAGTGTGTGTTGGGGGAAGGAGGAGGGACCCGGCTCTCCCGGGCTACGCCAGCCCTATGCAGGGAGCTCACGACGCGCCCCCGGCGGCTTCCTTTGGGCGGCGGCGGCTTCCTGCCGGCAGAGGGCGGCGCTGCGGAGCTGGCCAGGCCTCCGAGCTCGGCCCCGGCTGGG